AACATACATGTTCAAAGGACATGAGTGTTCACCATACTACTTAAAAATGTAAAAGAAACCTATTTATAGAATGGACTCCAGGTATGGCACTGTAGGATATGCACTGGACTACAAACTACAAGGTTGATGGCTCAAACCCACCAGCTGCTCCTCAGAAACCCAGTACATAGCAACCAGCTATGAGTCGGAATTGACTCGATGGCACTTAACAATTTATAGAATATCCAAGTTTATCTTTCCCTGAATGACACAATACAACTTAGTATTACTATTCTGAAGCTATACTGGAAACAATGACTTCAGATGTAAATAAAAAATTCTAGCATACTGCCGATTTTTGTGGTGTGCGTGGTACTGGGAGGGCAGGGATCACCAAAAACCTCTAGTTTCAAGAAGTGTTTCTGGATTATTGACTTTGAAAACTCATTGAGTCAGTGTTCTTTTACTAGTCTTCTCCTTGCCCAGCTTTTTGTGGTGGTGGGTTGTTTTGACATTAACACTCATTACCAGACACCAGCTGGGAGACAGCTGTAACCTGAAGCTAAGACTTTAACATATGTAACTGGCTACTTCTGAAAGATATATGAAGTCACTTGGTGGTGGACAGAGTGCTTCATTACCTCTCCAGATCCTTTCCTCACAAGAGGACTGACCCTTCGTGAAATGTGAAAAGGGGATTAAATTCAAACCAAACTTAATAAAAGTGCCCAATACCCAAACCTTCCACAGGATCCTAAGTTAGAAGACAGAAAAATGTTAGAGAAGGAACCCACTATGCAACAAATGCTTCCCCACTTACTGCCTCTGTGTGACCTGAGTAGGAGCAGTGCCTCCCTAAGCCTCAGATTCCTTACCTATAAGAGCAGGAGAATGCCTTCATAGGGTGTTTCAATGATTTAATTTAATAAAAGATGCGACCAAATCAAAATCCACTGCTGTCAAGAATCCATTCTGATTCCTATCACCCCTACAGGACCAAGAACTGCCCTATAGGGCTTCCAAGGCTGTAAATCTTTATGGAAACAGATTGACACATTTTTCTCACATAGCTGGTGAGATTTGAAGTGCTGACCTTTGGTTGGCAGCTGAGCGCTTTAAATACTGAGCCACCAGGGCTCCTACAAAAGACATTGTTGCTATCTTCCTGATCCTCATCATGGCATAGGAACAAGGTGAAAAAGAACAAGGAAACTTCGCATCCGTAAGCTCTGCCTCAACATCCACATGGAGGAGAATGGAGACAGACTGACTCAGGCTGCCAAGGTGCTGGAGCAGCTGACCAGCCAGACCCCTGTGTTCTCCAAAGCCAGATACACTGTCAAGTTCTTTGGCATTAGGAGAAATGAAAAGATTGCTAACCACTGCCCAGTTCATGGAGCCACTGCCCAGTTCATTGGAGAAAGCACTAAAGGTACAGAAGACTGAGTTATGATAAAATAACTTTTCAGATACTGGAAACTTTGGTTTTGGGATCCAGGAGCACATTGATCTGGAAATCAAATATGACCCTAGCATTGATAGATCTATGGCCTGGACTTGTCTGTGGTGCTGGGTAGGCCAGGTTTCAACATCACAGACAAGCAGCGCAGGACAGGCTGCATTGAAGGCCATGCACTGGTTCCAGCAGAAATACAATAGGATGATCCTTCCTGGCAAATAAATTCCTGTTTCTACCCAAAAGGCCAGTAAAAAGTTTTCAGTGAAAAAAAAAAAGAGATTGTTACTGTTGTTAAAGTGCCGCCAAGTTGGTCTGGCTCATAGCAACCTGGTATAGGGTTCCGGAGGCTACAAATCTTTGTGGAAACAGAAAGTCTCACCTTTCTCCTGCAGAGCAGCTGGCGGGCTCAAACCACTGACCTTGTGGTTAGCAGTCCATTTTGGCAGCACTGCTCACAATGTCAACGAGGCAAGGATTGAAATCGATCTCTGTGCCTGAAACTTTTAAAGGATCCTTAAAAAACACACACAAAACTAAACTAAACTAAATACTAGCAAGCATTAAGGAGCCCTGGTGGCTCTGCAGATAAGCACTATACTACTAACCACAAAGACGGCAGTTCAAACTCACAAGCTGCTCCTTGGAAGAAAGATGAGGCTTTCTGCTCCCATAAAGATTTATAGCCTCAGAAACCCTATACAAGGTCGCTGAGCTGGAATCAACTCGATGGCAGGATTCATGTGAACAAGCATTGTTGGTGTTAAGTGCTATCAAGTTGGTTCCAACCCACAGTAATTCTGTACAGGGTTTCCAAGGAAAAGCTGGTGAGTTTGAACTGCCAACCTTGCAGTTCAAACTGACTTCACAGTGTAGTGCGTTACCTCACAGCACCACACCTGGTGTGGTGTTAAGGACTGTTGAGTCAGTTTGAACTCATAGTGACCCTGTATAGGGTTTCCAAGGAGCTGCAGGTGGACAAGCACTGTTGTTGTTAAGTGCTGTCGAGTCGGCTCCAACCCATAGTGACCCTGTGTAGGGTTTCTGAGGAACAGTTGGTGAGCTTGAACTGCTGACCTTGCAGTTCAAAAGGCTTTGCAGTCTAATGCATTAACCCACAGCATCACACCAGAACTCAGACAAGCACTGTTGTTGTTAAGTGCCGTCGAGTCAATTTCAACCCATAGGGACCCTGTATCGGGTTTCCAAAGAGCAGCTGGTGAGCTTGAACTGCCAACCTTGCAGTTAAAACATCTTTGCAGTCTGGCGCATTAACCCACAGCGCCACACCTGGGTTCCTTGGACAAGCATTGCTGTTAAGTACCGTGAACTTGGTTCCGACTCACAGTGACCCTGCACAAGGTTTCCAAGGCTGTAAATCTTTAGAAAGACCTAAATTAAGTTTTAAACAGCTGTAAAATGGAAGCTGGACTACCCATTCTGAAAAACCAAAATAATTCCCTGATTTCTGCTGAATAACATTTTCATTTTCTTCTTTGACATGAGAAACTCATGATCCCTTAGAAAGTAAGGGAAAACAAAGAAAAGCTAAGATATCCAACAAACTTATCATTTGAATCACATTCAAATTATAGGCCAAGCTTTTCTAGGGGGCGGGGTGGCAGGAGGGTAGCATGAGGGGTGTCTGGTTGATCAATCTGTATTGTCATTGTTAAGTGTCTTCATGGAAACCTTGTATAGGGTTTTCCAATGCTGTAAATCTTTTCAGGGACTTGAAAGCCTCATCTTTCTCCAGTGCAGCAACTGGTGGGTTCAAACCACCTATCTTGTTAGCTGTCTAGTGCATATCCTACACTAAGGCACAGCACTTCTCCATCGGTACTGTTGTTGTTGTTAAGTACTGTTGGGTCGGTTCCAACCTATAGCGACCCTTTATAGGGCTTTCGAGGAGCAACTGGTGAGCTTGAACCACAGACGCTGAGGTTCAAACCGACTTTGCAATCCAGCATATTAACCCACAGTGCCACACCAGGACTCTCCATCAGTATTAATGGCAGGCAATAAATGACTGCCTGAAATTCTGCATTCTCTGATATAAAGTCACTACTAAGCACAATACCTACCATATTTGTTAAGTGCTATAGAGTCAGTTCCAACTCATAGTGACCCTGTATAGGGTTTCCGAGGAATGGCTGGTTGAGCTTGAACTGCCGACCTTGTGATTCAACCCAACCTTGCAGTCCAGGGCATTATCCTGAGGCAGCACTTAAAAATGGGTATTGAATGAATACCTAGCTCACACCTGTTGCTCCCTATAAAATCCTAACATTACTCAACTAAAATCCAAGCTAGTCAACACGAGTATTTTGAACTGTACTAAATACCCTTCCAAAGGAATCAATTCTTCAAATTCTCAATGATATAAACAAATATTCTCCATTATGATAAGTGGAAAAACATAAATGCTGAGCCAGCGGGGAAAAAAAAAATCTTCGAAGCCAAGTTTCAACACAGACCCACTGCTGCAAGGGTAAATTTCTCAGCCTTTTCCAGAGCTGTCAAGCACCCTCAAAGGCTCAAAGGCGTTAGGGGAAGCACACTCCAGCCCCTGCTCTACCCTGGTAACTCAGCCCTCCACGCTAGTCCCCAAACATAAAACCCTTAAAGTGGATGCAGCCAAACTCTGAACAGACAACACGAGGCATCTCTCCATCGTCACCACAAACTCTGAAAAGACCAAATTAAACACGAACCTAATGGAATTGGCTGTGTCTGCTCAGGACAATTACATTTTAGTAGGCAAACAAAAATTTAAAAAGCCAGTGAAATTGTCCCTTTCCTCCTCCCCTCCCCAAAATGAGGCTAATTTACATATCGTACCCCTCCCCCACGTGACCCTGACTTCAACACTCTTGAGACCCTGCCGGGACTCGTGGGTCCCCGGGATAGGGGTTCCACAGCCTGATCTTTTGGTTGCTCTGACGGAGCCCCCAGGAGACCCACCTGTATGTAAGTTTACGAGTAAAACTGAAAGAAAAACTTCCAGACTCGCCCACCTCGGCGGAGGGCGCAAAGCTCTGGGGGATTTTAGCTGAGAGTTGAGTGGCCCAAAGAGGATTCAATTTCCCCTTGCCCTCAGCTGGTTCGCCCTCCTCCTCTCCGTAGCCAGACTAGCCGCCCCGGTGCGCGCAAACGCCCCGAAATCCCCTACACATGGTGTGTCCCTCCCCATCAGAGCTCAAGAACTTTAAAATGGTGCCTCGGGCGGGGGAGCCCGACAGTAAAGGGCTGGTAAAAGGAACCAGGAACGAACGAGCGGGTGCAGGGGCCAGGAAAAGGGGCCTGGGTGGCTGCTGGGGTTCCAAGGGTGACGCGCAAATCGGGGGGTTGAAGGAGGCACACCCTGCAAAGGTGGAGGAAGAAATGGAACGTGGCCCCTTTAAGAGGCCTTCTCGGCGCACAGAGACCGGGGGCCAATCTTCCATCCCGAGTCCGGTGTGTGTGGGCCTTCCTCGGGGAGAGCCATCCACAGACCCGCTCCCCGGAGGTTTCCCTCACGCCAGGTCCCGCCCGGCCCTGCCCCGGAGCGGCAGCTCCTCCTTACCCCGCTGTCTGCCGCCTCCTCCCAGCTCTCAGCGACCTCCTCATCTTCCATCTTACTCGCCGCTTTCCCTCCTCCCCCCACCCCCTCCCCGCGCCTGCGCCTTGAGGCGCGCCTCCGTAGCGGGCGCGGGCACGCACAGCTTTATTCAATGGACCCCGCCCCCTACCAAGCCCGGAAGAAGCTCCAGGCCTACAGTAGAAACACCAGCTTTAAGGCCGCCATTTTGGAAAAGGTCACCGAAGGCAGAATAGTGCCATCTTTCTTAGGGGCAGCACGTTATCTCTTGTACTGAATGAAGGTCCACGTGAAGTCATCATATTCAGTATGGGTACTGTTTTCTTTGGAACCATCTTTTCTAAGGGCAGGCCATTACCGACAACTTTTTTTTTTTTAAGTTAGTAGTTGATGATGTTGCATGCCATCGAGTTAATTTGGACTCATACCCACCCAGTATAAGGTTTCCAAGAAGCTGCTATTGAGTTTGAACCGCCAACCTTGTAGTTCAAACCGACTTTGTGGTCCAGTGCTTTATCCCACTCCAGGACTCCAAGTGAGTAAAGTGGTGGTGGTTATATGCCATGGAGTCGGTTCGAACTCATAGCGACCCTGTACAGGGTTTCCGAGCTGTAAATAGGGCTGTGAACCGCAAGGTCAGCAGTTCGAAACTACCTGTCGCTCTGCGGGAGAAAGAGGCTTTCTGTTACCGTAAAGATTTACAGCCTCGGAAACCCTGTACAGGGTCGCTATGAGTCAGAACCAACTCCACGGCACTTAACAACAACAACAACAAATCTTTACCAGAGCTCCTTCCAAGTGAGTAATTGTTGTTGTTGTTGTTGTTTTAGTTGTCATAAACTCAAGAGTATGGTTTCTTCAAGCATTTTACACCTTAACAAAAGATGAAAAGTGTCTGCTGATGCATTGTTGTTGTTGTTAAGTGCCATCGAGTCGGTTCCGACCCATAGCGACCCTGTACAGGGTTTCCGAGGGTGTAAATCTTTACGGGAGTAGAAAGCCTCATCTTTCTCCCTCATCTTTCTCCTGGTAGTTTCGAACCGCTGACCTTAAGGTTCACAGCCCGATTCGTAACCACTACGCTACCAGAGCTCCTTAGTATTTCTTACTCATAAAGTCCTGTTCCAAGTATCTATTAACAAGTTTTATATCCTGTACTGTGGCACTGTAAGGAGATCTGGTAGCATAGTGGTTATGAGTTGGGCTGACAACCTCAAGGTCAGCTGTTCCTCGGGAAAAACAGGAGGCTTTCTGTTCCCATACAGATTTACAACCTCGGAAACCCTATAGGGGTCGCTATGAGTCAGAACTGACTCCATGGCACATACCACCACCACCACTGTGACTCTGTGGGATCAGCACTGGACTGCGAACCACAGATCAGCAGTTCAAACCCACCAGCTACTCCTATGAAATCCTATACAGGGTCGCTGTGAGTTGAACCAACTCGACAGCACTTAGCAGCAACTACTGTGAAGTAAAAACATACTGTTACTGAGAAAACTATTGATTGTGGTTCTCCTGGATCTCTAATGGTGGATAAATCCCTTTAACATTACCTTAGAAACAACTTCCAATGCTTTCAAAAGATAGTGTCTCTGTCTTATTTTCTCTAGTATAGAAGTGGGCACTTTGAAAACACGGTTTCAGATACTTCTTACTTGAACAAATTGTGTGACCTTATGCACGTTTCTTATTGGAGTCCTGGTATGGCACAACAGGATAATATACTGGACTGCAAGGTCAGCAGTTCAACCTCACCAACTACTCCTCAGAAACCCTATGTAGGGTCTCTACAAGTTGGAACTGACTCCACACACTTAAAAACTACTTGCAAGTTTCTTAATATTTCTGTGCCTTAGTTTCCCAAAATGTAAAAAGAGATCATCATGAAAATAGCTGTTTCAAAGACGGATTGTAGATTGGCTACTACTATAAGAACAAGCAAATTGTTCGCTGGAAAGTCATCAAAGCAAGCAATCAAGTCCCTTCAGGACAAACCCCCCTCCAAGACTGAAACTCAAAGGGAACACATGAGTAGGCATGTAAGCTTGCTGACGTTCACATTGGTCTACTGGGGGAAAGGCAACAATGAAGAAATGGGCTGCGTTCAACCACATTCCATAGACTCAAGTTAACCTGGAGATGAGAGAGAGAAGAGAAAGGGCTGGTCGGTCTGAAGTGTGGTGAGAGACCTGGGAAATTCTGAGCCCATGGACAAGGACATAGCCACAGCAGACTAGAACTGAGAGTGAAGTATCCAGCTGATATGAAGTGAGGGGAGATGCACAAGAATGCCCAAACTTACAGATAGTACCCATTTGACCTAGCTTTGATGGCTTGATAATCAGAACT